TGTGACTAGGCCCTCTGCCTGGTCAGGGAGTTTTAGGGACCATCTCTGTCTCCCAGCACTATATTCAACACGCATCTCTATATCCACCTTCTCTATCTGGTTTCTAGGGATCAAACTCAAAATCCTTGTGCAACTAGCACTTGGAGCTAGCCAACACTTTAGCCATCTAAGGCATTTTGTGCATGTGTGAGTGTGGGCACACGTGCCAATTGTGTGTTTTTGAACACTGAACTCCTAATCCATGCTGGCTGGCCTGCAGGCTTCCAGCAAGTCTTTTTTTCTTCACCTCCCATCTCCCCATAGGAGTGCTGGAGTTACAGATGTTCACTACCTCAGCTGGCTTTTTTGTGTATGTTTTGGAATCTGGACTTAGTCATCAGGTGTGTATGGTAAGTGATTTTACTACTCAGCCATCTGTCTCCCTGGCCTCACACGAGTAAATGTTTGTCGGAAATTTCAAGTCAATGAGAAAATCTGAAGGTTTTTTTTCCCCTCCTTTTGTGACAGGGTTTTGCTTTTTGGCTGTAGGACCAATCCTTCCACCCTAGTCTCTCTAAACTGTGATTATGGACACAAGTCACCATTGCCTGGCCTCTAGGGCATTTTTAAAGGTTTCATGATTATTTATATGAATAAACTTTCATTTATTTATTTATTTTGCCTCACATGTAATGCTACAAGGAACGTAAGTATTAAACATTTAGGATGATTAGTTGCATGTTTCAGTTGGTGTGCATGGATGAATGACCACAGTGTGGTGGGTGGGAACGAATTGTTAGGAAGCATGAAGGGGACAGACACTTCATTACTCTTAGAAATTGTCTGTTAGAAAAACTTGTCTACAGAGAAGTCTCTGAGTAAAGGTGGGTTTGTCTACTGAGAACTTTTGTCTACTGAGTTCTTTCCAAGGGGAGCCAGTGAAGAGGGCTGTGAGTAAGTCCTGAGGGTGGGTGTTCCCATTGATTTATCAGTACTGTAACTTTTAGATAGCATGCCTGAGGCTGTGACCGGTAGGAATTTGAGATGGAAGCCATTTTCTTCTGAGCTCTGAGGCCAATCTCTAATTCTTGGGTTTAGGTAGTTCTTGGGAGCTAAAATGGAATCTCCTGGCAGTAGAATATAGAGGCAGAGATGTGAGTGTTTAGTCACCAACAGTTCTCAACCTGTGAATTGAAATCCTGGTGGGTCGAACGACCCTTTCACAGGGGTCTCAGCAGATATCCTGCATATTGAGTATTTACATTACAATTATTAACAGTAACAAAATTTGAATTATAAATAGCAATGAAATCATTTTATGGTTGAAGGTCACTGAAACATGAGGAACTGTATTAGAGGGTCGCAGCATTAGGAGGGTTGAGAATGGCTGGCGCGGATGGAGTCAGACAGTCCACATAAGATAACAGGACTGCAGCTAAATTTCATGTAATTCCTACTACGAGGGGTTAACTCTTTTCCTGCATCCTGTTTACATTGCCTTATGAAATTGAGGCCATGCCCTCATTAGTTTTCTACGTGTGCACATCTGGAAACACAGCTGGTTTGGTGGCATAAGTCTGGTAGAGTGAACAGGTGAGAAGTTCTGGGTTGGAGCCCAAAAACACATGCTTCTCTCTGCCTGTCTTCATTTGATGTGTGCTTTTGATTAGCTAATTGCAGGATTTGGGATTAGAAATAGTCTTCCTCTAGAACTTTGGGGTATTTATTATCTCTTAGCTGTTATTTGAAAAGTCAGCTGATCTGATTCCTGCTCCTTTATCATTGGACGCTCAGAAGAATTTTCCTTTCCTCCTTAATTCTGACATGTTGAGATAGTGTACTTTAATGGGATGTCTTAGCTTCCATGAGGAAACACCATGCCCAAGGCAGGGGGTTCGGTTACAGTTTCAGAGGGTTCTTCATGCTTGTCATGGTGGGAAGTGTGGCAGGCAGAGACAGTGCAGGAGAAGTGGCTTAGAGCTCACGTCTGATCCACAGGCTGTAGGTGGAGGGAGTGAGACTCATTGCATGTGGGCATTTGAAACCTCCCCACTCACCCCCAGGGACATACTTCCTCCAACAAGGCCATCGTCCTAACCCTTCCAAACAGTTCACTAACTTGGGACCAAACATTCAAATGTATGAACCTATGGGAGCCTACTCATTTGAACCACCACATGGAGATTATTAGTCTTCTCCATAGACCAGAAATTAAAAAAAAAAAAAAAGGAAAGAAAAGAAAGGAAAAAAGATTGTTTTGTTCTAAGCATTCCTTTCAAAACCATAATTCCATGAGGTTTTCTTAGTAGGGTTTCTCTGTGTATCTCATGCGGGCCTTTAACTCATTGTGGAGCTGAGTCTGGCCTTGGAACTTGCAGCAATGCTCCTGCCTCAGCTTTTAAGTGCTGGGTTTTCAGTTTTGTGCTACTCTGCCTAGCTATACTTTACTATTTTCTAATACTGCTATCTTCTAGTGTATATCTTCACCTTTACTTTCTAATTTTTCTACTGAGCTATTTAAGTTTTTAATATTTTTCCATTTTATTTTAAAAACAAACAATTGAATATATATATTATTTCTATATTATACTATAAATATATTAGTCTTAATTTTAAAACTTGTTTATCTGAATAATTTGTCTTCTCTGGTTGCTTTTCTTCTTGCATGGTTTTGGCCTCTTCCATACTTTAGAAGCTTTGTTCAGATGTCTTGTCCTTGGAAACTGGTACTTGTTTAAGAGCAGAGAAGTAGAGAGCTGGCTGGGAATGGGAAAGGTGGGCAGCTATTGTTCTGCCAGGCTTATCTGGCCTGGCCATTTGCTGACAGCCATGTCTTGGAGGAAGTGACTTGTTGTGTCGTCTGAAGGGAGTCCTGGCTTGCCACTGTCCGGAATGTTGATTAAAGCCACCAGGCTAGGGCTCTGGTTTTCTCTGCATAGGCTACTAAATTTGAGACCATGCCTTCCCCTCTCACCACTGCCTTCCAGTTCAGAGACCATCTCTTAGCCTCGCTGGAAGATTTCTTTGACCAACTCCCTTTTGATGGCCATGGGCTTGTCTCTTACTCTTCCATGCAATTACTATAGTTGTGGAGATACTTATAAAACAGTCTGTGCGAGTCAGTAGGACAGAGCCCAGAATTAGTTTCTTGCATAAGTGCTGCATGTGTACTTTGGGGTTGGTTTGACACTGAAGCTCATTGCCTCTTCTGTGCAGCATGGAAGGTGGTGTGTGCTGCAGCTCCTAAGTCTGTAGTCCTGCCTCGCCTCCAGCACTACACAGGCTCAGCCTTTTCTTTGATTGTTGTTGCTTTTGGCTGGTGGGAAAAATGTTTTATTTGTTTATTTACTGGTAAAACTGAAACGTATATTTCTTTTGAGAATTGCTATTATAACATTTGCTCATATTGACATAAAATTTTTGTTTGGTTATGATTTTTTATATTTAGTTTGAGGTTAGGTATGACAGTATGAGAGGAAAAAAATTAAGTGGTATCATCTAGGGCTCTTATGTCCTTTTCTCTAATTGTTTTTTGGCCCTGAAAAACAAATTTGTTTTGTCTGCTATGAACTATAAATAAAATGGTTCTTCTTCCTTTCTGCATTAGCAGGTAACAGCTGTGAGCACGCTATGCTGTTAGATGAGAATTCTACTTTTGTCTTCTAATCTAGAAATGAACACAGAAGCAGAACAGCAGCTTCTCCATCATGCCAGAAATGGCAATGCTGAAGAGGTGCGCCGGCTGCTGGATGCCATGGCACGGACGGAAGTTGTTGCTGATATCAACTGCAAAGGTGGGCTCCCGATGCTTGCTTGTTACAAGCCTCACATGTATTTAATCTTTTCGATCCTGCCCATGATAAATCTCACTCCCCTTTCCTTGGAAGAACTCCCCACAATATTGTGTGAAATAATATTATACCGTATACCTTCTAAGGTAGAGAGTTGAGATCCATAGAACTTTACAAGTTATGAGGTGATCCTGGGTATGCATTCTCTGATAATGTCTTTATTTTTCTTAGCAACACTGCAGTTGAGCCAGGAGGTTTGAGTGACTGCTGTTTGCCCAGCAGGTAAAATGCTGTGATCTCCTTGGGAGAGACTGACAAACTCCCAGCCTCATTGATGTTAGCTTTCTAGATTAACAGACCAGGCTAGACCACTGCAGAATAGGTTCTGGGGTGTGGAGGCCCTGTGCATCCCCAGAGGAGGATGGGTGACTCGTTTGAAGAGTAGCTTCTTAGAGATGGATTCAGGTGATAAGTGAAGGACTGCATGGGATGTAACCAGGTGAAGATAGAGAAACAAAACTAGTATGAGACATAATTATGGCTGGGACATTTTAGCTTGGCTCTTGTAATCTGGAGGTTCCCTGGTGGCTGTCTGAAGGCTGGAGAGCCAGGGAAGTCAGAGCTGTGCTTTGAAGAACCTGTGTGTGTGTGTGTGTGTGTGTGTGTGTGTGTGTGTGTGTCTGTCTGTCTGTCTGTCTGTGTCTGTGTCTCTCTGTCTGTCTGTCTGGCCGGCCACCACTGAGCTCCAGCCCTGGGCACAGAGTCTGCTTTGATGCAGTAGATGATAAGATAGCTGGCCTGCTGGGGGAATGCTTTCCTCTTGTCTGTGAGCTTGTCTGGTTTTTGTGCCCTCTGAAGTTAATCTCACTGGGCTTGTGCTCAGGAACTATATATTCTGTACATCTATTCTCCATTCATTTCTACAGTTCCTCTGTCCCTGCAAGGGCTTGTGTATAACCCATATGGAAGGCAGAGCCGGGGAGATGGAGATGTGGATGTGAAGTCAAAGGCGTGGACATAGGAATGGAAAGGGCTGTGAGAGGAGACCCCAGGCAGACAACAGAGCTTCTGAAGGGAGGGCTGTCAGGCTCTCTAGAGGAGCCAGGCTGACAGGCTCTGTTGCCTTATAACAGCAGCTGTTGGTTGGCTACCATGAAGCAGTCGGCAGGTTCACAATGGCTACCTCACTCTGGACAGACCAGGAGCATGGTGACTGCACCTTGCAGGAGGCTGGATGCCTTAGAAGTACCAATTTGGTGCTGATAGCTTGGAGGATTCCTGGACTGCTGCTGGTCTTCAGTGTACATTGAAGCTAGAAGAAGTGTACATTGAAGCTGGGTTTTGATATTGGTGAAGGGTTGTGGCAATAGAGTAGATGAACTTGCCAGCAGGAAAGAAGGTATGCAGGCAAAAAGCAAAACATTTAATTTCTTCCACCACCTTTTGTGTGGAAGATACCTCTCATATTTAGAGTGAGTTTTCCCAGTTCAGGTAACTTGATCAAGAGTTTTATGAGAGTATCCAAATGGCTTGCTTTTTAGTTGATTCCAGATTCAGTCAAGTTTGATAACTAAGATTGACCATTGAATATATTCCAGAGATTTGAGAGACCAGAATTCAGGGCTTGTAGTTGAACAGTGCCTCACTGGATTTAGTGACAGCATTTTTGATGACAGTTGAGGACAGTGTTAATGTCAAGGTAGGCAATAGGCTGAGGCTGCAGCAGGCGAGTAGGTGGTAGCTTGGAATGATGGCGAGAGCAAGGAAGGAGAGAGTGGAAACAGAAGAGGGTGTGTGGTTACTGTCAGTAATGTTGCTTGGTTTCGGCTGGTTACAGAGATGGTAGAGGCTACTTGTTCCTTCCTATGAGAAATCAAAGGGGAGAAAGTGAAGCTAGGGAAGAGAGGGTCAGAGGAGCCAGAAGGGCTGTAGTCTAAGAGGGTTACCAGGCTCTGCTCTGCAGGGTGGGTGTGGCTAAAGGAGAGGGCACTGAGGGGGCGAGGTTGTTGCTAGGAAGGGTCTGTGAAAGCTTCTGGTTTTGCTGTGGTGCTAAAAGATGAAGTCATTGTTAGCAGGTGTGGTGTTGTAGGTAAGAGATGTCAGTAGTTATTGAGGGGTGGGAGAGGCTCCTCAGCCAGACATCATAAGAAGGACATCAAGCCAAAGTGTGGGGCTTGATGCTGTGGTGCCCCAACTCCTCAGGGTGTTTTTATTTGTCTTCACCATTGACTATAACCTGGGATTTTATAACCAGCTGTGACAGAGATAATGATAGTGACATCAGGGTTCAATGTTCATGCCAGAAGGGGAAATGGGAACCATTTACATGTGTAAGTGATGAAAGACCTGCATGGACAAGCTGAGGCCTGACCTTCACGGATAAGTGAGGGGTTGGGTTTTTTGGAATGGCTTGCTTTCTTTTTTAAAAATAAATTTATTTTTTATGTATGTCATTGGTTTTGCTTGCATGCATATCTGTATGAGGGTGGTGGATCCCTTGGAACAGGAGTTACAGACACTTGTTGGTGCTGGGAATTGAACCTGTGTCCTCTGGAAGAGCAGCTAGTGGCTTTTAATCATTGAGCCATCTCTTCAGCCCTGAGAATGGCTTTCTATGATCATAGTGGCACCAGGTCTTGGCCCTGACAGTGGATACTTGACATTGAGCAGAGACACAGTTCATAAGAAATGATGGGAGTGGACTGCAGATGTAGTTCACTTGACACAGTGGTTGTCTAGCATGTATAACACCCTAGGTTCTATCTACAGCTCTATAGGAACAGAGCATGCTGCTGCATGCCTGCACATGGGAGATAGAAGCCTGGGATACATAAGATTCAGTTTCAAAAAAGGTGGGAGAGGACTGCCAAGATTGATCAAGGGGGTAAAGTTGCTTGCTGACAATCCTGACAACCAGAGTTGGTTCCTGGGACTGATATAATGGAAGGAGAGAAGAGAACTGACTTCTCAAATTGTCCTGTTTTCTACATGTGTGCCATGGCATATACATACATACCCACACACACACATGCACATGCACATACAAATACATGCATACATACAGGCACACAAATACATGCACATATACAGACACACACATGCACACACAGACACACACAAATACATGCATACATACATACACACACACACACACACACATACTTGTACACAGTAAATAAATGAAATAAAATAGAACTGAGGTGAAGTGAGAACCAGAGATTAGGGAACTTGGATGGCCAGGACATCCCTTTGGATGGTGGCAGAATATACAATATTGAGAAGGACTGTGTTGGAAACATTATGGTTTTCTGGGAGACTTGGCAGGCAGTAGGTAAAGCATTTGCTGGACTTGTGGCTCAAATGGCTTGTAACATGAATGGAACATTTCTTGACCAGGGCCCTGAGCAGACTTTTGTTGTAGGGGGTCAATACATGGCTTCTCCTTGGTGAGTGAGAAGCCTGCTTATGAGGTCACTAGGGAAAAGCTAGGTTTTACTGAAGAAGGAAGACAAAAGATGTGCTAAGTGCAGTAACCCGAGGAGTTCCACGGGGCTCTTAGGAAGAAACAAATGCAGCATGGTGAATGGTGACAGACACAGGCCCTGGGGCAGCTGAGTTTCACATAGGTCGATTCAAGGAGTCATTGGTCTGGTGTAGACACAGCAGTTGCAGCTGAAGATTGTGTGGGTTCAGAACTAGGAATCTGGGGGCTACAGTACATGGTGACTGTGGGGTCCTGAGCTCTGCTGGATCATCTAGCTGTTGCACTTTGGGAATTTGACAGGGCTGTCCTTTCTGAAGCCTGGTTTAGATTCTGGTAAGCTTTTGAAGTTATCTCAGTTTTAAGCCCAGTAGACTGTTCTTTATCTCTTTTGCCTAATAGAATTATAGAGCTTTCATTTCTGCTGCTTGTGTTAATACCTCTCGTCAGCATTGCTGTTTGGATCTGATAGTTCACTGCTTTTAACATTGGTTTTCTAGGTGTACTCTGGTAACCCAATCTTCTCATTAACTGAGATTGTATCTGAAGTCAAAGATTCTCTTGTAAGTCATTGTCTGGGGTGAGCAGTCTGGCAGCTGCTGCAGGAACACTCTAGCAGTTGCCACTCTGCAGGGCTCTCCACCACCTCGAGCTCCCCAGCCCACCCTGCCTAGTGGCACAAGGGTTCAAAGAACTGATGGTGGCAAGGTGGATACAGACTAGCCTCTGAGGGCCAGCAGGCTGATGGAGATTGGGTAGTTGGGATCTAACCCTGCATGGATGCTCTTTCTTTGAAAGGTGGACATGGTGAGTCAACAGGTGGCATCCAGTCAGGTCCTATGGGACCCAATTCACTGCACTTTTGCAGTTCTTACTGTGGTAATGTGTCTCACCTCTCATCAGCAGTATGAGAGCTATAAGCCAAGGTACTTGTTAGAAAGAAATCCAGTTTATTGAAAACTAAGTAATAACTAAAGATACCTTTTCCCCTGTTTTTAGGAAGAAGTAAGTCTAACTTGGGCTGGACACCTCTTCACCTGGCATGCTATTTTGGACACAAACAAGTGGTCCAGGATCTGTTAAAGGTCTCTGTATAGCTTTTTTAATGACTGTAATTCTGTGGGAATCCTCTGATGAAAGTCTGAAAACACTGAGCCACAGTGGTTTACTCAGGCAACAGCACATCCTCAGACACTTAGTTCTTCTTTGCTAGATACATGAATGAGGCTAGTTTAACAAGTTATAATTCAAGTTTCTAAACATTTCAGTGTTACATGATTGGCTTTTTAAAATAGTAAAGTAGAGATATTAGTAAAGAGAATTTTCAGTTTTGCAAGTATGATAGTTACAGAAAAGAAGCGAAGCACATCCTAAATAATTAAAAACTAGCATCAGAATCTCAAAAAAGACTTAATGAGAGCCAAGGCCTCAGATGCCTCTCCTGGTAATTTTCACAGAGGGATATTTTTGAGATTGGGTTACATTGTATACTTAATTTGTGCATTTAAGCTGTGCCGTCTCCTTTAATGTGAACACTTAAATATTGATGATCTAAGAGATGCTTTAGGTCCAGAGTCAGCTCTTCATACAGTCTGTCTACTGGTAGAGTGGAGTGGAGTGGAGAGCTTAAGAAAAGCTGTGTGCTCTCTCATCTGCAGAGTTTACCTCTCAGGAAACCTGCTTCCTTCAGCTAAGAATCCAGTTTACCTTCTGTGGCAAAAGCAGTGTTAAGTTATTTTAATTTTTAAAGCACTTAAGAATTCTTTGGGTTTGTGTGTGTGTGTGTGTGTGTGTGTGTGTGTGTGTGTGTGTGTATTTACTAATGTGTGAATGCCATTTAAAGTTTTCATGTTTACTAGGCTGGTGCAAAAGTGAACATGTTAAATGACATGGGGGACACGCCGCTGCATCGAGCTGCCTTCACAGGACGAAAGGTGAAAGACCTTCTATTCTTTGGTTTGAAGCGAGATGGTTGGGAGAGCAGTCACTGCTGTCTGTCAGCCCTTCCCACTATCCAACTCCTGGGAACCTCAAGAATTCATAGAGAGGGCTTTGGTCAGAAGGGCTTATGGGTCAGTGAGGTTGAACACAAAAGCCAGGAACTTAGCTGCGCTGTTCCTGATTGGACATGCTCAGCCTCCCAGGCTCTCCCCAACCTTCCCCCCACCCCCACCCCACCCCCTGAATCCCCTAAAAGCAAAGTCTGACTCACATTGTCTCAGTTCATCTTGGGGAAGTGCACATTTACACAGTTGTGTGGCCATGATATGACCAGTTTTGGAACATTTCTATGACTCCTCTGAGTTTCTTAGATCCTCTATACATTCATTCCCTGTGCCTGCCTAACTTCCAGGTTACTTTTTTCCTGTCTAGTTGCCTTTTCCAGACATTTCTTATCAATGGCAACACTTGTACCACAGTGATAAGGTTCATCTGTACTACAGCATGCACCAGTACACATGTGTACAAGCATGTGCACGGTATGGGGCATGGAGCCAGAGCAGGACTTCTGTGTGCTGTTCTGTCATCCTGTTCCTTATTCCTTTGAGGTAGAGTCTCTCACTGACCCTAGAGATACCATGACAGTCAGCAAGCCCCAGCAGTCCTCTTGTGTCCTTATGGTGTTGGGGTGACAGGCTTGGATGCAATGGTGCATGACTTGACATGGCTTTGAACTGAGGTGTTTGTGGCTACACAGCAGATGATTTTTCCTGCTGAGCCATTTCCCTAGCTCCCGTGGTATGTCTTAAAAATACGTACTGTAGTATTACAAGTGTTTCCCTCGCACCCGTGCATCTGCATGGCTTAGTGGACAGCCAGTGACTAGGTAGCAGTGTGCTCAAGAACTCAGTCTCCTGGGCTTCTGCTTTGTCTGTGTGAGCCTAGGTTGGGCAGTGCTCATCCCTTTCTCACTTTGCTTCTTCCTGACAGGCCCACTCTTATGTCTTTTGCACATGATGGTGTTCCCTAGTATCTGGGACTGTATGGGAAAATACCATTTCTCTGCAGGTTCTTTTGTTTCTAGGATCTCCCTGTTAGGGCAAATGACAGAACAGCCCAGTGCTTATGTGGTAAGCTCCAAAGATGTCTGTACCCTAATCTTTGGTATGTGTGAATATGTTTGGTTTCAACGTTGTGCATGGAACTGAGATTGCTACTCAGCTGCCTGAAAGCTGGGCTTTGCAATCCCAGGAGTCTTTAAAACGGTGAGAGGGAGGGAGAGAGAAGAAGAGTTGATTGAGAGAGAAATTTGTCCAGTTAGATGCTATGCTTCTGGCTTGCAAACTGTAGGAAGCAGCCATGAACCAAGGGATGTTGATGGCATTTAGAAGCTAGAACAGCTGGGGAACAAATTCCCCAACAGAGCTTCTGGAAGGATCCCATCCTTCACTGCTTTGACTTCATCCAGTGAGCTGCATTTCAGAACTAATAAAGTGTGGAACTGTAGGATTAATTTCAGTGTTTTAAAACTCCGGGTTTGTACTAACGCAGTAATAGAAAGCTAATTCTCTGTTGGGGAAAGCAGCCTTGTGCTGCATGTTCTGTGGGTTTATTTCCTACTGGGGTTGCTCTTTTTACTTAGGATGCTTTTTTTATCTGTTTACGGTACTGTGGGTCTGTGGGTCCCTACTGGACACCCAGGACCATGACATGGTTCATGTTGGTAATTTTGTCCAGTGCGGTTTCTTTTCAGGATAACCATTCCCTGAGCTAGCAGCCAGAAGTCACCTCATCCCAAATTTTCATAATTCGCTCTATTAAAAAGGAAGTCACCTGGTGGCTGTGCTTCCTGTGAGCACATAACTGTTTACAGACTTTTGTCACTTAGAGAACATGTCACATGGCTCCACAGTTCCATCCTTCTCATGTTTTATGTCAATCACCAGCCACCCCCTGCATGTTGGGCTGTTCTGAATGAATCCCTTCTTGCCTATTGGATCATAAGTTGATACTTGTAAACCAGATGTGAAACCTTAACCACAGCTGAGACAGACACACATCGTGTGACCCTTGCTGAGCCTTAGGTGTGACTTCTTACGATCTCTCGTCATGGCCCTGGACTTCTCATCTTTTTCTAGGAAGTCAGAACATTCTGTTTCCATTTCTTTCCCTCATGAGCCATATCTATTTCTAAAGTGAGTCTCCCCAAGTTCCTTATTCTTTTCTGCTGGCAGGAAGCTATCCTTTGCCAGGTCTGTCTGACCCAGTTGCATTAGAGTTACTGCTGTGTGTATCTCAATCCTCCAGTGAGGCTTTGCCAATACTGCTCCCAAGGAATTGGCACATTTCATGTTGTCCTGCACAAATGTGGTGCAAATCTCAGTGCCCACCCCTGATCACTTAGAGCCGGTCAGGTCATAGGTCATCCTCTGTGCTGCCCACCCCTGATCACTTAGAGCCGGTCAGGTCATCCTTTGTGCTGCCCACTCCTGATCACTTAGAGCCAGTCATGTCATCCTCTGTGCTCAGCTGTTTCCACTTCGGGCGTTTCTACTTTTTTTGAACTCTAATATGTGAACATGCTAAATTGGACCTTAGTCTAAAAATCCAACTACAATCAGGTAATATTTAGCTAAAATAGGTGGTTATGTTCAAATATTAAGCTTACATATGTAATAATTAAGTATAATTATATTAGATAAAAAATTTAATTTCTAATTGTGCTCACAAAACTATAAATTATCTTATAATCTTTTATCATGAATATAATTTTAAATATTTTATAAACTTGAAATTAAGTAATTTTAAATAAAATATTGAGTTAAAAAAACAATTGTACAAATTTTTTAAATCCTTGTACTCTGAAATAAATAAAATTCAGCTGCCAAAATTTAAGGAATGCATGTTTGTCTTTTCTTGGTATATTAGCGACCCCTAGTGTCCTATACTTGAAATCAGCATAACAATTATTTCAGTGATCTGTTTGGCATTTGTTCCTGTCTTTATTTTTCAGAGGTATTCATAATTTTAGAGTTTTTATACCTTTTATAAATTGCTTAAAATAGTGACCTAATAAGTATAGTAAATATTTGGATTGTGACACTGGCCTTCATTTTTACTAGAATTCAATAAATTTAAAATAAATGCTTTCCATGTACTGTCCCTTAGGTGTTGTATATCCTAACAGACAGAGTGATATGTGATCTGAAGTATATGTAAGGGTTCCCTGTGCCTAAGATGTGTCATACATCACCAAAAATTGACTATGTTGTTTCCCTTCTTGGAAACAGAGCTGTCTGTAAACAGAGATGGGCGTATTGCCTTTTGTTCTTGGGAAGCAGCTGAGGTGCGGATCGGTACAAAGCAGCTCTGTACTATGGGATAACTCCTGTGGAAGGGTGGAGGTGTCAGGAATGGACAGAGGCTAGGTCAGCCACTGTGTGGAGACACCTGCTCTGGAGGTGTGACTGCAGGTCATGCTTCATAGCTGCTGTTGGTAAAGCCTGCCTCCAGCCACTCCCCAAACCTGCCTCAGATCACATTCCTCCAGGGGACTTTGGCAGTGATTCAAAGCCTCTCGTACCACCCACCTTTGTTTAGCTTAGCTTAGGTTTACTTCTTCATCCATTTGTGGGGCAGCAACTTCAGGATGCCCATGGTCCTCTCCCAGGAGGAGCATCTGTGAGAAGGCTGCTGGACCATGGATACTCTGGATGTACAACTGAAGCAGCTCCTTGTGGCCTGTTGTCCATTCTGGATTCTTTACCTTTCTGACAGGTTTCCTGGAGTGTGACTCGGGCTCTCAGCCCTGGTCACCCGTCTGCTTGCCTGCTTGCTCTCACTGGACATGACCATGCATAACGACATATGCCTGTGATCCTCTCCCTGAGGAAGCAGAGGCAGGGTTAAGGATTCCAGGCCAGATAGGAGTATACAGGAGCTCTCTGCCTCAAACAACAAATGGATAAACAAGTAGCACACGAGAGTGCAAGGTTGTCAGGGCTTGTGTGTGTGTCTCTCTCTATCTGTGTGTGTGCACTGGGAACTGAATCAGAGTCACACATGCTAGCTAGGTGTTCTGGACAGTGTTTCCAGATACTTGCTTCTTAAATTTTTTCCCGTTCATTTATTTGTATGTATGTGTGAGGCACATGTACTTCTGCCCTCAATACACATGGACGAGTTGGGAGACAACTTGCAGAAGTAGTTTTCTCTTTATACCATGTGAATCCTGGTGGGAACTCTCTGGTCATCAGGCTTGGCTAAAATACCATCTTGTCAGCCTGCTATTTGCTCCTGAGAAAATATCCTGGCATTAGCCACTGGTCTGAGAAAAACTGACTGATATGGCAGGGTCCCTTGATTCTTCCTAAGACTGAGCCCAGCTCCTCTAGGTTTGTGTCTTAACGATGCTCTAGTTAATGGGTAGACACTGGGAGGCTCCATAAATGCCCAGTGGATGAGGAAGAGCTGGAAACGTATCCTGCTGTCTGCGTGAATGCAGGCTGCCCTTGATCTTTTTCCTGATTGGGATAGGAAAGAATAGGTTTTCCATATCAGTTGCTGTGCACCATGTCTTACGTATCCCTTTCCCCAGCAAGCAGCACGTGAGGCAGAGTGCCTGTCATCGAGCCTGTTGTATTTGGTTGAGTTTCTGGAAGTCCCTTGTTGTTCTTTTCTTTGTATCTGGTGTCCATGGTTGTGGTGGACAGGTGAGTTAAGTGGACACATGGTAGGAAGTGCCATTAGTGCACCCCCACTATTGTCCTCTCCGTGATGTCAGTGTCCGATGGCTGTTGTTCTGTAAACTGCTGTGGGACAGCACTTTCCTGGGGATACACAGCACACATGTCTTCTTGCCCCAGATAGGGAGCCCACCACAGGCCAAAATACGCGTACCACCAAAATCCAACTTGACAATCCAATGATATTTATTGGGGTTCCATACAGAAGCAGAAATGACTCAAAACAGCTGCATCACTGAAAGTCCACT